CTCTTTGAAGTGGCTGTCAGGCCACATTTATTTCGTTTTAGCACTTTGTCTACTTGTCCAGATATATAAGGAGATAAAAAGCACTGGTGTTTACACTGATCTTTGCCTCTCTTTCTCTCTCCCTCTGTCTGTCTCACTCTATCTCTGTATATCTCTTTTGTGGCACTGGTAATTAGATTGTAGCCCTGATCAGACGTTGTAAGGATGAGATGCGCCGCAAGTTGCTCTGGATGCGCTCAACTCTTGATGTTTCAGGGATGTCTCCAGCTTTGGGGGTTCGCGGCAAACCAAATCATAGCGTTAACTGCATCTTAGCCAGCCGTTCACCTCTACCCACTCTCTGGGCTGGAGATTTGTTTGGAGTTGATAATCACAAATGGCTGGATTTTTCGTCATTTATTTGCGGGGGAGAGAAAGAAAAAAAAAGGACATGCGAAGGGAAGAGGGAGCATGAGTATGATGTATAATCCAGGAGACGAGTCATATTTCACTGTGACATTTTCAGCAAGCAGTCCTCCCTTTGAGTGCAGAGCCCCTGTTGGGCCGAGAGCTGCTGTGGCTTTCTCTGTTAATGCCATTATTAGAGACTTTCTTTCTTTCTCCAGCTTGTAAATTTCTGCTGCATTATCATAAAGTGTAGTGATTACTCAGTGTATAAAGACAATAATGATGTGAGCAGGCAGCATATGCCCAGGGCCTGGAGAACAAGAGCCCTGCGTGCTGAGATGAGAGAGAGGCGTATGCAAACCTGACGCTGCAGCGCCCCCATCTGACCAGTGCAGGAAATTATTGCACTCTTATGTCAGAACGTGAGTGGGTGGAGAGAAAGAGAAGGAACAAAAGGAACGGATGAGAGCTGAAGTTTGGCTCCTGGAAGATGAGATTGGAAGATGTGTCTTGGTGTTGGGTGTTCTTGAAGGAGCTTTAGTTTATTTGCTGATGCTTTATAGACCATTGAACATTTCCTACTTGTTATCAAACTATTTCACAACTGTAACAAGAGGCAATTCAATCATAACTCAGTGTTAACATTATTGATCAATATGTAGCTGTTTTTTTTTTTTTTTGGATTCTTGGAAGCTATAGAAATTAAAAATGTAAAACAGGAAATACATTGGTTTTTGTTTACATCCCTCAAAATGGTCTATAAAGATGTATATAAAATTGTAGCCTTGATGGAGTGTTCATCAGAGCTGTATTGAGTGAATGGTTCTTCTTTCACCTTGTGGTCAATGGCATAATATCTTTCACCCAGACACTAATCTTTAATCTCTAAAATGGACAGTTTCATTGTTTCATTGGCAATTCAAGCAACCTACAGCCGTCTTTGTTTGTTTGTTTATTTATTTGTATCCACAGAAGTAGCTATAACATTCACTTACCAATTTATTTAATTATAGTCTGTAATTATTACTACCAGTGTTGTTGTTGTTGTTGTTTAAATATTTATTTTGTTTGTTTATTTCATTTATTTCATTTATTCATTCATACATGCATATTCAAACCCCAAAAACACACACTTTGATAAAAATAAAAATCACCCTCGGTATGCATTATGCCAAGCGTGATTATTTCAGTCACTGTTGTATTAGTTGATTAATTGATTGATTAATAAATTTAGTGTGTAAACATTAGGGCTGTGCGATTTGGGGAAAATATCTAATTGTAAATTTTTTTGACATATGTTGCGATTTGATTTGCGATTTAATTTTATAGTCAAGCTTCAGCTCAATAATCTGTAAGTCGTGGCAACAATTCTGCGACAGCTCTTAAAAATTTTTTTTTTTTTTGTTCTGTGTTTAGCACTTTGAAATCAAAACATTCCCATATTACCAATGCTGTTTTTCTTATATATTAATTTGTCTATTAAACTTCTGAAGCAGCGGACGCCATTATCTCACTTGTCTGCACTTTCCTGTTTGTTTGTTTTCTTTTAATTGTGGGCCTTTGCATAGGTCAGTTGTGCAATTCTAATTGGCCAGAATGAAAGTATTTGTCACTCAATTGGCTAGTAAGATGGTTACATACTGTAATATATATATATATATATATATATATATATATATATATATATATATATATATATATATATATATATATATATATATATATATATATATATATATTAAACTAACAATAATAAATGCTATAACTTTAAATTCTATAATTAATAAATAAAATTAACAATGCTTCAAATTGCGATTGTGATTTGATTTCGAGCAATTTCACCGCCCTAATCAACATACACAACCACCAATGATCAAATTAACTTTTCCTTTAAAGTAAAAATACACAAATGCACAATTTTCTGAGGTTTGGGTTACGACGTTACACACTTGTGTGAACGTTGAGAACTGACATTATGCTTAAAAATGTTAGTGAGTTAGTTTGCTCAGGTCATTGCACCATTTGCCTCCAGGTGACAATTGGTTTGATATTTTATTTACTGCAATAACATTCAGACAAATCTCCCAACAAACTGACTATCATTCATTAAAGATAGGCAGGTCTGTGCACACAAGTTGCCATTTGTTTGATGGATAGTGATGTATATCTTTTAAAATCAACCAAAAACAAAGTGCTCGGTGAAAGGAAAAGCTCTTAACTGCCTGTGCATGCTTAAAGCTCCCGGATTGAATGAATTCAAAGGCTTCAGGATGACCCCTTGGCTTGTGATTATGTTTGTGTAAAATCTTAAGGATGCCGATCAAAGCAAGGCTCTTGTCCTCCTGCCCTTTTTCCCCCCAGATAACAGCTGGCATTCAAACTGAGTTTTCCTTTAACTTTTTTTTTTTTTTTTTCTGCCGGGATTCCCATTATGAGCCAGGCCTCCTTTCTCATCTCGATGATGGCTCATTGAATAAAGAGAAAGAGAGGAGTGGATGGGAGTGGAGGAAGTGGAGGGAGGGCTCTGATTAATCTTCTTCCAGGATGGGGGTGTTTGATCAGTGGACTCGGCCCGGGAGGGGTGGGATGCTTAGCAGAGAAGGGGGCATCTCTGATGTTGACAGCAGGCGACTTTTGCGCACGGCATGTGATTGACGTGCCTGGCCGCTGGGCCGGAGGGGGGGGTACTGTGTGTCCGGTGGGGCATAGCCAGCCCCTGACTGTGGGTGGTGGTGTTAATAATGTGGCAACTGGGAAGATTAATTGTAGACAAGCAGCAGGATTACGAGCGGCTTTGTGGCTGGGACAGGGCTGTTTGGTGGGGAAGGCCTCTGATCTGTCAGGTCCAGAGGAAATTAGTCAGGGCGGACTGAAGCTGACACTAAAAATGCTGCTTTAGGATATTAAAGCCAAATGGCCGGAGGAGATTGAAATGGTAACAAGGAAAGCGCTGACATGCTTGGAAACCCCAATGCTGCCGTACCCCAGTGGATTTGGGTAATTAGTGTGAAGATTAGTCATGTGATGATCACACACACACACACACATACACAAACAAAGCTTTTTAATTTGATTTTATTAAATTTTTCACATACAGAAAAATATTTATAAATAATATTTTTTTTTTACATTTAAGCACTGAATTCTAATGTTAGAAGGATTTGCAAAGTTATTTTTGTTTTCAACAGTCATAATTGAGTCACACTATATTTTGATGGTCCGTTTGTTGAGTTTAAGAAACATTGCATCTACATGCCAACTAATTCTTATAAGAATATAAGTAGACTGTTAGGTTGGGCTTAGGGTTAGGGCTAGTGCAAGTAGACATGTACTTGCAAAGTTTTTTTGTCAGTGAAATGTTTGTTTAGCAGCAGTATCAACAGATATTAGGCAGTAAGTCTACTAATACTCAAATGGACTATCAAAATAAAGTTTTACCCATAATCGTAAGGGCGCTATGATCTTAATTTGAAAATACTAATCATCATATTAGAATTATTTCTGATTGATGACTGAAGTAATGGCTGCTGCAAATTCAGCTTGCCATCACAGAAATAAATTGTTATGAAACACATTCAATTATAAAAGAGCACTGTCAAATTAGAAAATATTAAAATCTAAATTCTTTTAATCTTACATGCACAAGGCATTCTCACTCACTAAAGCAGTGATTTCAGTAAAAAAGAGGCAACCTCTACTCTCAGAATGATTAAATGCTCAGAGAATTTCTGCCTGCAGAAAGGCAGAATATTTTCACAAAGGCATCAGATATCAACACATCATGATATATACTTTGTTTTTGGTCCTTGAAAGAAGACAAAGGAGGTAGAAAACAACACTTGTGACCTACCCGAAGCACACAGGCGATCTGTATTCTCTCCAACTCGTCTCCCTGTTCTGTCTGTCTATGCGGTGGCCTTTATGTGAATATATTTGTATTTTTAAGGTCGGCCAGTGAGAGATGAGTTTACTTAAACTCAGGTCTGGCCTTTGGAGAGCAGTAATTTCATGCCACCTGTTGGATTGTCAACACACAGCCACTTGTGTGTGTGTGTGTGTGAGTGGCAGGTTGACCTAGGTCTGACCCGTGGGGCTCTTCATGGCTGAGTAGTGACTGGGGCCCTTTCCCTGGTGGCCCCCACTCTTCAATAGGCAGGGGACAGGTAATCAAAGCCAGCGCCCATCCTCACCTTTCACTCCCCTCCTTGCAAAATAATGAAAGTTGCCCTCGTCCTGAGCCCTGATAAAATACGAACGCCGCTCCTAACATTTCCTCTCCTCTGCACTGATAAAATTTATGGCATTTAGACAATCAGTCATGGCAGTGAAATCTCACCCGCATTCTTCACTTGTCTCTCGCCCCGCCGTGCGTTTTCCATTCTCTCTCCCTTTTGTGTCATCAATCTGAAGAAATATTCCAGATTGCTTGTGACAAATGACTTCTTTTCATTTAACTCAATTAGGATCATCGCATACGGAAATCAATAACCAACATTTCTCCTGTCTCTGCTGAGTAATACATTGCCGTAGATGTTATAAATGTTTGCAGGTGTGTAAACTGCACACTGAGAAATATTATATATATATACATTTTTTTTTTTGTTCTGTTTCAGGACACTGCCAGTGATACGAGGTCTGAATCCATTGCCACGCCTTACACACCACTGCCAAGAGGATCCAGAGATGCCCGGAACCATAAAGGTAGTATTATTTTGTTTTTAAAAAAAAAATATTTAAAAACATTGTGCATACTGGAGAATATTAACCCTTTAATTGCCTGCTCGACTGTAAAGTCATTTAGAGAATGACTATTTAAAAAAATGGTTTATACACACAGCATTGTTGGTTTACAAGAAAGTCAAACAAACATAATCCTGTTGCACTACTACACTTTATTTTGGTTTCATTGTAAAAAAAAATAAATAAATAAAAAATTTTAAATGAATATATGAAATATTTTATGGCATACTTCAAAAATAAAGATTTAGTATTTAATAATATTTTATTAAAATTTTTATTTTTGTATAAATTGGCTACTATAGCCATTTAGGCTACTATTTATTTATTTATTTAAATACTGCATTTTAGTGACATTTTAAGCACTACTTTAGCTTAAATGGATTGTTGGATGGTCATCATAACCAAAAAGAACTACATTTGATAATTTATGGATAACAACAATTACAAATCTACAAATCTACAAATCAACAAATACAATCTACAATAGGATTGAAATTCTTTTTAATAGGGGCTGCTTTTGATCCTTCACACCTTTTTTGGGTCATTTTTTTCTTTCAAGAATAAGGTCCAGTATCTAGAATAAAAGTTACGTGTAAACTATTTTCTCTGTTTAAAAACAATAGTGTAGCAAAAAATGACCTGACTTACATCAGATTGTATGCTTTCTTGCACAGCTTGATGTTGAACTCATGGAAAATAATTGTGTGCATTGGCCAAAACTGATTAGCTGAAGTCACCACAGCCAACAGAGGATTCCACTTAGTCTTAAAACCTTTTTCCATGGGTTATTTTCATTATTTATGATGGCATAGCAGTCAAAATAGGACAAAAGAGCTCATGTATTTGGCAAATTCTGGACCTTTGTCAGTGAGGATTGGGCCTTTTGAACCACCCGAACCACCCCTGGCTAAGGGCCTGATTTGGAGTTAAGAAATGCTATCCATTTTTTGTTGTTGGTGGTGGGGCAGTTAAAGGGTTAAGAGCTCACTTTAAAGTAAAAAAATAAAATAAAGATTTGTTAGATTTTTGAAAGCTTTAGGTTTGAGTAAAATGTTAATATATATGACACATAGAATGAAGACATTCAGATAGATGTTTTGATATAATTTCTTTGATTTAATCTGGGTTATTACCACAAATATTGCTGTTTTCAATCATCTGAAGTTATCAAAAAAATGAATATAAGCATGTCTGAAAATATTTGCATTGTATTAAATGCCAAAAATGATTTAACATGGGAATGTTTTATATGGAAGAAATGTCATCAGTAGTTTATAGAATAAAACAAAACCTAAGTTTTACTCAAACATATAACATAATTAAATTGTATGCTTAAAATAATAACAAAAATGCCCAGTTTTTGGTTTATATTTTTAAGAAATCAATATTTGATGTAATTACCCCAATTTTCAGTCAAAACGAATGAAAACATTTGTATTCTGATCGAGTTTTCTATCTTTTTTTTTGGCTCTCTGTTGCCTTTTTTATTATGAAGAAATGTTATTCTAAACAAATATCAATATATCAATTGAATAATATCAATCAATATCCATAAATTTAAATAATATAAATTTTATTTTGTTTTAAGTTATCAGAAAAATGTGTATAAGCATGTCTAAAAATGTTAATATTGTATTAAATGGCAAAAATGTTTCTATGGCAATGTTTTTTTTTTAATACGGAAGAAATGTCAACAGTAGTTTTGAGCATTTGTATTCTGATCAGTTTTTATTTTATTTCTTTGGCTCTCAGTTCTTTTTTAATTATGACATGAATTATAATCCAACTTTTATTGAATAAAACAAATATTAACATTTTGTCTGTACATAAAACTAATAAATCACAAAAAAATCAAGCAAATTTTCAAGTAGCTACTTATTTTTCTTTATAGCTGTACGGTTTATACCCATATGACAGGTATGTAAACAAAGCAGACTGGATTGTTAATAGAAAGCCTGCAGATGAGATGGTTTTGAAGTGCTGGACTCTTTCATGCCGGCCACATTTATCATGCTCTTTTGTCTGTGCAATGCAAAGCATTGTTTTTATGTCACGGCCACGGCGGTGGTACTTTCATGCGAGGTCAGCTGTGTGCTTCTCAACCCCCCACCAAGGACAGATCTATTTCACAAAGGCTGACCTGCACCTCTCAAGTGATGTAGAGGAAAGCCCAGTGCTTTGTCAAAATCATGCTGCTTGAGAATAGTCCATTAAAAGGTGAACGGAGCTGACATATGAAATATTTTTTCTCCCGCTTAGATTTGGGCGAGCTGACACTCTCCATTTGTTATTTTTACGATACTGTACTGCAGCGTTAGATAACACAAGCCCTCATCTTCGTCCTTCGCCTCTTTTTATTCCTCTGCCTTTATCGCGCCATTTTTATTTATCTTGACTTATTGCCTATTCTATTTGCTTAATGCATTGGCTCTGACACTGTAACTCTTTACTAAAACTCACCTTTGGCTGTGCCATGAAAATGCTTTAATAGAATAGCCATGACACTAAAAGATGCAGTTCACCTCCAAGACACTGTCAGTGAAAGTCGAGCATTGTGTTTGGCTCTGTGATAATTCATGGGGCTTGCGCAGCAATTATTACTTGCTTATGTACTATAGCTTTTATTTATGAACTCATTTGCTCTTAAAGGAATACTGTAGCTCACCCGCAAATGATAGTTCTGTTATCATTTACTTGTGAAGAATGTTGTCTTTCGCTCACACAATGAATGTCCAAAACAACACTGACTTTCTTTGTAAAGACAATACAATGGCTTGAAGAATGGTTTAGATGTTAGTCAATTGCATTTTTTCTTTGTTATCAGTGCCCTTCATTAAAACACAGAGACTATATAGGTGCCTGGGTGGCACTGGCTCACTCAGATTGACCACTGCTCAAATGAGACACATTCTAACGTGTAAAGAATAAGTAACAAGATCCTAAATACTGATCTTCATTTCTGTTGTGTGGTAATTATTAAATGCAAGATGGCAATCTGAGCCATCAGTATCAACATGGCATGTTCTCGCTGTAAAACAATCATCAGCTTTTCATTACTGTCTCTACATTTTTAGATTACACTAGGAAACACCACTTCATCAACACTGCAATATGATCAGATCCTAAATGTCTCATAGCTTTAGTGAAGCAGCATGTAATGCTATTATTGAGGATTTTCTTATAGCTGTCTATATATAGCGGGTTTTGTTGTCATTGGACTTGTTCAAGAATGCATGCTGCAAATAAATATATGTGTTCTAGTGTGTTGTAGTACAGCTACAAACCAAAACACAGCCCTAAAGATGCTTACAAAGTAGTGTTATGTAAAAGCCATTTGTGGGAAAACATGTAGTCATTTAGTACAGTGTTTCTCAACCACGTCAATGGAGGAACACCAACACTGCCTGTTTTGGATGTCTCCTTTGTCTGTCATACCCGTTAAAGGTCTTCCAGTCTCTGCTAATGAGATGATGATCTGAATCAGGTGTGTTTGGTAAAGGAGACAAGGAAAATGTGCAGAGCTGGTGGTCCTCAAGGAACATGGTTGAGAAACACTGATTTAGTAGATGCACCGTATAGCTGAGGATGAAATAAAGACTTCAAATAACCAGAGGGCAGCAAGACATGGATGTCATGACAAGTTGTTAGGTCCTTGTAATAAAATGTTTATAGTAAAGAGTCTGGTGCGCAGAGGAAAGAGTGTGTTTTACAGGTGATATTACAGGCCCACTTACATGTGTGAAATTGCATTTTTTTTCTCCCTAGTAACAATGAGTGTTTATAAAAAAAAAGTGTATGGTGGATACCACCAGTGAAAGAGTGTCTACCGCTTATCGCCAGGTTGTGCAAAGGAGCGAGATCAAGTGTGCCACACGCCTTCTTTTGAGTGACGCTCCCTGCCATTAGGTAGCCCCGTGTTAATCAACAAGACTTGAGCCCAAGTAAAAAAAATAACTTACACTTGCAATAAAATGTGTCGAAAGATGGTTTAGGGCTATCGAGGCACTGGTTATCAAGCTGATATAGGTTCAGATGTTCATTTTTGTAAAGAGTATGTTTTTTTTAGCCAGTAATTTAATGCTATAAAAATGAGGGATGTCATCATGATTGACAGTTGTGATTGACTGCTTCTCTAAGCAGACTGTCGGAGCTTCAGAAGGAGATTTCAGTACCAATGTTTGATTTTTGTGTTAGTTTAAAATGAGTTCAGCAGTAAACTATACTTTCTAACCTACAGGATTTGACGAATCATTGTTTATTTGGTTAAATGTGGCCTTTTGTTTGCAAATACATGGCAAATGTTATCATGTCATGGAAAACAGGTGATCGTTATCTAGCAGTAATTATTTTCAGGTCTGAAATAATAATTAGGAAGACAAACCGAATGTTAACCCATATCCGGATCAATCTCCTGTAACTTTATTTGAACTTGATTTACAGGATGTTTCTGATATTTTGAGTTTGAGCATGTTATCAAGTTAATCTACTGAATTTGCTGTTTCAAAAATATTAAGTTGTAGAAACAAAATCTTACATAACAAAAAAAAAAAAACCTGTAAATGGTATTAATTATTTCTATATATCATTTACCATTTACTATTTTATATTGTTCTGGGATGTGTAAATAACCTGAAATATACCGTTTGCTAATATAAACGTACAATTTTTCCCGCATGGCAAATAGCTGTCCATGATGTGTAAATTTTAGGTCCTAAGATGAAGATAATAAATACCAACAACCAGCTATAAGAGACATATTTTTTGACTCTAACTTAGTTTTTTTTGCAGTCCAGCATATAAACATATTAAATTATTAAAAACAGCTTACATCACACAGTTTTTAGTTAAACATATATTATTACGTTTTTTCTTTTAATGTAAGTGCTTATATTTATTTAGCGAGCCTTTCTTGTTGTGCAGATACGGGCGGTCAAGTGAGAAGGGGTGTGTGGTTGATTTGA